ATTTGTTTCATGTGTTTGTTCTGTTTGTTGTTTGTTTTATTGTTGATTTTATTGAGAACAAATACAATACTTTTACTATTTAGAGGAGTTCTTCTTGGAGTTATGAAATCATAGGGTCCTGCTTGGAGTTATACAATCATAGTCCTGCTGGGGCATTATACAATCATAGGGTCCTGCTTGGAGTTATACAATCACAGGGTCCTGCTTGGAGTTATACAATCACAGGGTCCTGCTTGGAGTTATACAATCATCGGGTCCTGCTTGGAGTTATACAATCATAGGGTCCTGCTTGGAGTTATACAATCATAGGATCCTGCTTGGAGTTATACAATCATCGGGTCCTGCTTGGAATTATACAATCATAGGGTTCTGCTTGGAGTTATACAATCATCGGGTCCTGCTTGGAGTTATACAATCATAGGATCCTGCTTGGAGTTATACAATCACAGGGTCCTGCTTGGAGTTATACAATCATAGGGTTCTGCTTGGAGTTATAAATAACTAAGGAGCTCCTGCTTGGATTTATACATGCTTCAGAAGCACTTGCTTGAATTATGCATTTTATACTTATGTATTCTATACTTATGTATTCTATACTTATAGAACGTATATAGGAATGCCTAAAATACTTTTAAGTTTAATATTAAGCTTTTTTTTTTAAATAAGAAAGTTCAGTTTATTTTGTGTAATTAAGTTTAATACACTGCCTTCTTAAGTTCAGATGTTGAACATCGTTTTCTGACTTTTTATTAGCTTCAAAAATATTCTTTCAGAAGAGGTGAAAAAAATACTGCAGTACTGTATTAAAAATACCTATCATCATTTGTTGGAACATCCATTAGCTATTTAAATATCAGAGGTAAGTACGTAAGTGGAAATTAATCTGGAGAATATGTGATGAGTTGGGTACCACAGGTTCCATATCGGGGCCAACCTATTTTGTCATATACATCAATAACATAAATGAGAGTATTACAAAAAACATCGTCAAATTTTGCAGATGACACTAAGATTTATGGTAGAGGAGAAAGGGGAAAATGACATTGAGGCCATACAAAGAGATGGACATGAATTCCATAAATTGTTGGAAGTCTGTGAAATGCTTTTTAATATTGAAAAATGCAAGACCTTGCATATGGGGCATAACATTGAACCTCAAAACTCCCAAATCAGCAATTAATATTGCTGATTTGGGAGTTTAAATCCACCAATCTGCCTTGCAGCAGATTGGTGGATTTAGACTCCAAGGTCCTTTTCTTCATCAATCACAGAAAGTTGTTCAACAAGCAGGAACTGCAGTAAAGAACGCCAACCAAATCCTAGGAATAATCAAACGAACCTTTGACTTCAAGAAAAACATATTCAACTGTAAAAATATCTGGTGAACTCACATTTGGACTACTGTATCCAAACATGGAGACCTCATCTTCAGAAGGACATATCTGCTTAGGAAAAAGTTCAACCCAAGCGATAAAAATCATCCTAAAACTAAGTCAACTCTCACACGAGTAAGAGTTGAGGGCCACAGGGTTAACAGCACTGCAAATTAGACATGGCAAGGCTGATCTCATCAAAACATTTTAAAATGCTGAACAATTTGGATGATATTGATCTAGACCACTAATTTAAAAGGTCAGACAAAGAGCAACGGCTTTTGTAACCATCCGAATAAAATTATCAGGACAACTGGGGGACCTTTGATAAGCCAGCGGCTTCCTTTCCTCATCGAGGCCAATAATGAGATGGTGACCCTCGAATAAATTCAGGCAAATTATCAGGAGAAAGCAATAAGCCAATATGGCTATATAGGGCTTGGAAGGAAGCTGATGACACGGATCTGGGATAGGATGAAGGGAATGAACGGTGGCCAACCACATCGACCATTGGGGATCGAACTCCGACATACAAGAAGAGAGGCAAACCTTGGTAAAACAAATATGGCTAATAATACAATTAATAATTATTATAATAATTGTAATAACAATAATATTTTATTGAATAGAAAATTAATTTAAATTTATTTAGCAAATAAATAAAGTAAATATGATTAAAATACATGTGCAGAGGTCTGCAATCATAATATAAACAAGGTCTGGGTTAGAGATCATGATGTGGCTACACTGTGCTGGGGCTGTTTTACAAGTTACCATGGAAGCCTCCCTCCCCCTTCCCCTCCTTCCCTCCCTCTCACTTAACATGCCCTCTCTTTTTTAATACTATCTTTACTCCTATATTTTCTCCCACTTTTACTTCATTTTCTTCTCTCTCTCTCTCTCTCTCTCTCTCTCTCTCTCTCTCTCTCTCTCTCTCTCTCTCTCTCTCTCTCTCACTCTCACTCTCACTCTCACTCTCACTCTCACTCTCACTCTCACTCTCACTCTCACTCTCTCACTCACTTCACTCACTTCACTCTCTCACTCACTTCACTCACTTCACTCTCTCACTCACTTCACTCTCACTCACTCACTCACATGTGCACACACACCATATCTCAACTCTCCCCCGAGATAATTAAATTAACCTGCAAAAATCATCAAATTACTGCAGTTCCTATTTTCTATACAACATGGACCAATCACAATACCCTCCACTTTTGTCATCATGACTAATTAAAACCCAGTACACAAATACCCATTCACCCATGTCATATCTAAATTTATAAACGTATTACACGTATCAAAGAGCTTGAAAATTGCAATATAAACCTAGTGTAAAGACCTAATTGAGGGGGGGAATATATGTAGTCATGGCGCTTATTGTGTATTTAAATCAGCCACCAGTATTGTCCAAAAGGAATTAGTACATATAGCGAGGCCTCATCTTGTGGGTGGTTATCAAACACTGATTATAAATGTAATGATAAGATGGAAATATTATCTGTACGACTACTCTCCCCATAGCACGGTAACTAATTGAATTCCGCTATGCATTATAATAATATATGTAGGCACAGTCGTCGGACGGAGATGGTTACTTTGTAATTTACTTTGCCATTGATTTTTGTGTTGAGCTAGTTTCATTCAGTTTATAATTTATCTTGTGCACCTCCACACTCATCCAGAGGGCAGCAACGGTGGACAGGTACAGTCACAAAATGAGGTGAAGTACAACATACATACAGTACTTACTACCTGCAGTGAATGAACTTAGGAGGTCTGCTTAATTAATAAGATTTTGGATACTATATCATTCTGGATTAAACATATATTTCGTGAATATTGGTGGTGATTCATTTGTCTATTGAATGTTTTAGTGTTAATGACAGTTTTACATTCAGTTTGCTGTACGTTAGCAGGTGATGCAGCCTCTTAGACACTTTACTAAGCTGAGTTGTAGTAACATCAGGGAGTCTGCTGATTTGAATTGATGATCCATAGATAAGATTAGATAGCGTGTTCCCTTTGTTCTATGTACAGGCATATTGAAACTACGTTGGATGAATCACGGAATTTTACGAAATATACGTGACACAACTGGCAATTTTTCTATAAAATATACATGCATAAATATGAAAATTCATATGAAATTATGCTGAACCTTATGAAATTGCCGGATTCTGCTGAGCTGCGCGTATTTTGGACACCTGCCAGATAAATATTTTGAATTTTATGCCATTACGCATAAATAATATCTACTAATTTAATTTCAAAATCATTAAATTATTTGCACTTACATTCGGTGCGATTTAATGGGGGAATGGAAACGTGCACAATTTTTAAGATACATCAACTACAGTAATTTATGCATTAAATTTTGTATTCATTGCGCTGTTTGTACTATTTACGCACAGATATATTCAGATATATTCAAACTAATGTATTTGTTGTGTTTTTGGCTTAAAGATGACAGGGCAGAGGGGGTGAGCTGGGTTATGTCTGTACTGTACTGTACTGTCCGTTTACTTAACTTATATTTGAAATTAATAAATAGAGTATGGCATGCGCGTGTTTCATGAGAATATATTACCCAGTTTGAATGTGTGTGCACATTTTCTGGCCATTCTTTTTTGCGTTTGACCTAAATGAGCTCTCAACATCTGCGCTTGAAAACTTTGTGTTCCAATATGGCTTGGGAATTAGGATAGTAAAGTAAAATAGTGACTTTAATAATGATGACTTAAGATGGCATGGCTATCTCGAGTGGTTAGTGACCATGAAGTTGCTATCTTAAGTGTTGCTTCCTGTTTATTTCCTACCCATATCTCTTCATCTCTTCCCTACCAAGTATTACTCCCTATGCTATCTATTTGGTGTGTAGTTCTTTTTTTTTTTCTTTTTTTACAGGAAGTGTGAGTGGGAAAAGAAAGGGAGAGGAGTTTTATCATAGTAAACTTCCATTAGACCTATTATATAGTTCATTTTAGTAACTAAGAGCTAATGTCACATAATGTTATAATTGAAAAATTGTAGTTGTATTTAATATTAGATTCGAATCATATTATGATATCTGATTACCAACTAGGAAATCACAATGGCATAATAGCATTAGGCGAAAATCATTGACAAACTCCGGGAATTCGAACTGACATTTGAACGCTAGTTTGAAAGCTGGTTTGAAACTTTGAAGTGTTCAAATGATTTTCGCAGCCTGTCGCAATCAATAAAAGATAAATGCTCGTTAATCCAGCCGCCAAACCCTGTTTATAAATGAAAAATGGTTTACACATGACTGTTGACGTTCCAACATTTCTCGAACAGTGCATTGCTGATGACCTCTGTTCAATTGCAAAAATGCTGTAAATTTATTTATTTATTTATCAGTAACAACAAAGAGGTATACCCTGCGACTCGATACATCCCCTCTAATGAGAACATAAGAATAAAGGTAACTGCAGAGGGCCTATTGGCCCATATGAGGCAGCTCCTATGTATTGAGTTATATATGATAACTCCTATTAGTAGCTCCTATTTATTTAATATAAGATTGTTTTTCTCAGGAAACCTAATAAATGTAAATCTCCACTCATCCATAAGTCTGCCCCTCGCCATCCAACTCATCCTCCATGTGTGTGTGTGATGCTCAACGTGTATTGGATATTGTCTTTCACAGTGATCTTGGTGACGGGCGTGAGTGGCTACCTTGGGTCCCATATCGCCAAGCTGCTGCAAGAGGAAGGCTATAAAGTCCGAGGTACTGTCCGAAGCCTGGAAAATGAGGCCAAGCTAGAAGTCCTGAGGAATCTCGTGCCAGATGCCAAGTTTCCTCTAGAGCTTGTGGCTGCTGACCTTACCAAGGATGAAGGGTGGGACAAGTAAGTGCAAAGCAGTGTGGATTTACTGTTGTGTGTACTGTATTTTTATGTGGTTTTGGTATGGAAAAGAGAGAGAGGGAGAATGTAATACCTGCACACTGGGAGTACCCGTGTGCAGGTTCGAAGCCTCCTTATGGCTCCTACTGATTCATTGATACTGTACATCATGTTAATGTGATTTCTTTGTGCTTTCTTACCTCACAAATTTTGCACTAGACTGGTGGAATATTTCTGAACCTTCTCCATCATTCTTTTGTGTTAAGTGAGATAAGAACATGCTGGCACTGAACACTGAACATGCAGTGATGAGGGTTCAAACATATGCTCTGTGTATTGAAAGAGGAGCATCAGAGGTAGAACATTCCTAAATGACAGAGTCAGAGCATGGAGGGGGGGGGGGGGATTTTGTGAAACTCTGGTTCAGCTTCAGAGGAAGCCTCAGGAATCTTAGAGGGTGCAATTGTAACCCAAGCTTCAATCCTTTTGACCATGTCGTGGTCTAGTTGTCTGGAGTGTGTGCCAGGAAACACCCAGCGCATAGGTTCGAACCCTCATCACAGCTCCTACGGATTTGCTCATTGATGCATCACGATAGTGTGATTACTCTCTGTACATTCCAGAATTTGTTTGATGTGATATGTTTAGGGTCCTGAATAACTACTGATACTGATTTCTAAAAGGTGCTCCTATGATGGCCAACCTTGGACATGCAGCCAATATCCATTTGAAGTGTGCTTCAGGACACAAGATCTGTGTGATATCAACCCTAGGACGTTTCCTCATTCCAATACCACATTTTCCTCTCCTATTTTGTATTTTGTTTTCTAACTCTTCCCAGCACCCAGCATCTTTACTTTGCACCTGATTGAATTAAACTTATACATATACGTGCTATTATTTACCCGAATTTTTCTGAGGTACAGTACTTTATCTTTAATGGCTCGGTGGGGACAAGAAGCAAGCAGCTTATCAAGGGCCAGAGGTGCATATGACTTACATTTGTACTTGCTTTTGTGCAAGTACAGATTTTGGTGATTAAATAATTCATTATTGCAAAAGCAGACTAGCTCATGCGCCTCTGCACCTATGAGCCATGAGCTCATGGGTGCAGAGAGTGTGGGTGACACTCCGCCACCTCACCAGGAAAGCATCCCGAAAGTCAGTAAACCAATACAGACCAATACTGGGTTCATGGAAACCGAAATCTTGAAACTGCTAAATGAACTTCCCACAAACAACACAAACAAATGATCAAAATCACTTAAAACTAGCATGAACTCAATACAGTTCTACCCCACCCCTTAGCCAATTGGTGAGGGCAGAGCATCAGGTCTCCCCACAGTCCTCCAAGCCTGTTCCGTCATTGATGCAGACATGCTTAGTTGTCCTCTGTAGGATTCGTGGGCTGTCAACAAGCTGTGTGGGTTCCACTGCTTTTAAGCTAAGTGCCAACCATCCTTGAACTTTGTCCTGATGGTGCCATTTGCTGGTTATCTTGAGATGATTTCGGGGCTTTTAGTGTCCCCGCGGCCCGGTCCTCAACCAGGCCTCCACCCCCAGGAAGCAGCCCGTGACAGCTGACTAACACCCAGGTACCTATTTTACTGCTAGATAACAAGGGCATAGGGTGAAAGAAACTCTGCCCATTGTTTTTCGCCGGCGCCTGGGATCGAACCCAGGACCACAGGATCACAAGTCCAGTGTGCTGTCCACTCGGCTGACTGGCTCCTGGCTGGCTGCTTTTCCACATTTTAGTTAGCATCACGAGCGTGTTTTCTTTCCCGTTTGTGTTGTGTGGACTTGGCTCAAAGGGTGCTTGGAGCTGCATATACTTAGACCTAACTTTCCTGTATGCTCCCTAGGCCTGCCTCTGCACTGATAGAGTTCTCTTCCCTGGTGTGTTCGTCAGTTCGCTCCTTCGAGGCCGGACCATTAGGGTGGGGACTTACCTAAGTGTAGTTACAGGATGAGAGCTACACTAATGGTGTCTTGTCTTCCCACCAGTGGTCTGGATTGGTTATCTGGCTTTTTGGATGCTTTTCTGGTGGTGTTGCAAAGTGTCACCTCCTCTTTGCACCCCTGTGAGGGGGCATGGTTCTGTCTGTGGTACCTGGTAGGCCAAACAGAACTTTGTGGCTGATGCAACCTAGTAGTTTGGAGCCATCTCAGCAAGATAGTTTCAGGGAGCTACACAAGCTCATCAAGAAAGAGCCGATTTATTTCAATGCTGGTTTGTCTATAAATCTTTATTGTAAGTAGTTTCTTACCTCTTTTTAGATAATGGAACCAGAGTAGGCTTAGGTAGAATATAATATCTTTAGAATAATCAGACAAATGGCCATTGAAACACACAGTACCAATCAACAATTTAATATATATTTTCAAAATAAATTACAGGACAGCAGTAAGCAACTTGTGAAAAGTTAGGACACTAAAGAGTTGGAAGGCTTGCTGTAGGCTAAGTCCTGTGTTGCCTGCTGAAGCAAGGAGAGGAGACGAGAGGTCTTTCTCCTATGCTGCTGAACTAATGAATCCCATCTGACTAATGGCTACTCACATGACTTGCATTTTCAGTTAAATTCAGCCATGTTTGAGGATGGCCATAGACGTTCCATCATTCCTATGAGACTTGTATCATCTGCTGGGACACTACAAGGCAGTACAACAACAAAAAATCTTGGTAATGAATGTAGAATGTGAATAAACAAAACTTTATTCAGAAATAAACAAGTTTTATAACAAATACAGTAGGTGAAAATAGATTGAGGATGATGCTAAAGGAAGTCATTAATCTAAGTTCTCGTGGACTGCCTACCTGTCACCTATTACTCATGTTCTACATTCATTACCAATATTATTGTAAGAAAAGGTGTAATTCTGAGATGCTTTGGGTATTTGTACAGATTCCAACAAGGTTATAAATATAAAACATAGCTACTTATTTTGAGCCACTGGATGTGTGGCCCTCTTCTCTGTTGATGAGCTTATTGTTATTATTGTTCTCATCTACTTCATTATACCATTCCAGATTGGCATAATCAGATTAAAATCATCTTGCAAATTGTTCTTCATTTAAATTGTTTTGTACTGTATGTATTTCAAATTTTCAAGATGTTTAAGATACAGTAACAAGATGTTTCCCCCTAGCCATTAATCACAAGTGTTCCTTGTTATCCTGCACCACTTTAAATTACCCAAATGTTTAATTTATTATTTAAAGTTTTGCACTTCACGTATTCAGTTGTTTAGAGTTGTAATCCTCAGACGACCTTGATATATAAGCTATAATTACAGTAGCCTATTCTTTATGCAAATACCACTTATTATGTACCACTTATTATGGTACAATATTGTAAAAAATAAAATTGAAACCTTATGATAATACCATAGTGTGCTTTTCGTGTTGCATAAAATATAATTTTATTGGCATCTTCAGTGTCTGTACATGTTTTGTGTGTGTTCAGCTTACATCACAGTTCCAATAATTGTACCCAAGTTTTCAGTACCAATGAAGCTTCCTCTACTGCTTTAGGTTCTGATTAAGCTAATTATTTTCAACCAAGGGCTGTATTGGACTGTACAAAAGTTGTCCACACTGCTACTTTGAAGGGGACCCAAGCCGAGAGTTTGTCAGAAGCCACCACTAAGTTCCTGACCGCCTGCGCTGCCGCCAAGACCATTAATAGAGTTGTTCTCACCAGCTGTGCTAATGCTGTCTTTGGTACTTCACTTCTTTATCTCCAGTTTATGTCTTTTTATGTGCATGTGAAGCAGTTGGGCTTTTTCACCATTTATGTAATAGGTCTATACAGTACTTGTTGTTTTATTGTATTTATAGAAAACAGCAGTGCATGACCTATTTTCAGAGTTTGCTTCATCTGATTTTGACCATGGTGAATTGTTTTTTCTTTATTTTTTAAACTTTTAGTATATACCCTTCAATGTAAACCTCTTTTGTTTGTTACTGTTTTGTAGGGCAATAGAAGGCTGCTCGGGCATCATGCATGTTGCAAGCCCTTTCCCTGACATTACTACCAAAGCGATACCAGAAGAGGACTTGATTGTGCCAGCTAAAGAGGGAACCCTAAGAGTCCTCAAAGCTGCCGCTGCTCAGGCCAACACCGTCAAGCGCGTTGTCCTCACATCCTCCTTTGCGTCTGTTTTTGGTACATGTTTTTGATGGTGTATTTTGTAGTTAACATTATTGTTTGTATATATTTACTGTAGTATATTCTTGTGGTTTGAATAGCTGGTCATTGAATTTATTATTTATGTGATGTCCAGTAGTTCCTGATTTATTCTCCTAATTTATGTACTAATATGTCATTATAATAATGACAATAATACTTTATTTATGCAAGAGTACATACAGTACATATGATACATGAACAATGGAGAATTTATAAGTAAGAAAAGTACAGCATAATACATTCAGCCACTGATACGTAGAGCATTTCGAGCAAGACAGTATGTAACCTAAATTGCTTTAGAGCTGTTTTTATGAATACAGTACAGTACTCTACTGTTTTATATTCTACATACGGTTTTTCCAGGTAGAATACACTGTGTATTTTATCAAATTATCATGGAAAAATTCTCTTCAAGCATGGCAAGCAATTTCCCAAAATTTGCTATAAAAATAATATCTGGAAATGTAAGATTTATTATTTTTAGGGTCTTTTTTTTATTAAATAGTAAATAGGTGAATGCATTGTTAATAAACACCACCTTTATGGGCACCAATGGTCACATTCCAGTGAATTCATATACATCTTGACATTAAAGAGTAGTTCATGAATGTAAAAAAATCATATTTAGTGATTTAACCACTGAAGATTATCACAGATAGTGATCGGAGCAGGTTAAGGGTTAATTTCATATACTGTAATTTCTTGCTTTATCTTGGAGCTTCCAGTCTTATAGATGGTGGCTTCATTGCACCATTGGATCTGTATAGTAACTGGGTGGCTAACCGCACAGACAGCCTCGTCATTGTCTAGGGATACCTATTCCCCTCACGATAGAAAACCAAAACTCTTCCCTTGGTACTGCAAGGCATTCCTTCACTTTCCTCTTGATGTTACAATGCATCTCTTTCTTTACATTCCCCCTTGGTAATATATAACACTCCTTTACTCTCCAACTGACACTACAAGGCATCCCTTCACATCTTCCATGACTATAAGGCAAGGTACTCTTATTTCTTACATACGACTACAAAACTTCTTTTCTTACCCTATGCACTACAAATCACCCCAATACAATGCAGGCGATAAGTCACAATAACGTGGCTAAAGTAAGTTGACCAGACCACACACTAGAAGGTGAAGGGATGACGACATTTCGGACCGTCCTGGACCATTCTCAATCGATTGTCTCAAAATCACAATCGACTTGAGAATGGTCCAGGACGGACCGAAACGTCGTCGACCCTTCACCTTCCAGTGTGTGGTCTGGTCACCCCAATACAATGCCTGTGGCACTACACACAACACCTATATGTCTCCCACTGGCACCTCTTCCTTCTCTCCATGGCACTACTGTACTACTGCCCACAACTAAAGCCAATCTATTTAGTGGCCATTATAAAACTATAAAGTTATGTACAAATAAATATTAACTCCAAATGCCCAGTTTGAAACTTAAACTACCAAGCTATTTAAAAGTCCTACGTATTGGTGTGCGTGGAAAAAAGTATTGAAAGCTCATAAGGATCACTGACGAATGGCATTCTGAACATGGGAGGAAATCACCGCTAGTGATTTGGAGCAGTTTGAGGGGTTGAGGCATATTCTCTATTCTATTAAATTGTATCAGGCTGATATTATCAATTTTACCATATATTACTTTAATTTTGTCATGGGAATATAGACATCAAGAAAACATGCTCATTCAGACATGTTATTCTGACTGGCTTCACCTGCACCACGACCCATCAGAGTCCAACACGTTCCTGTCTGTCCTTCATTCTATCTAACAGAAATTTTTGTGTTTTATAAGATTTTTGTCTCTGCTGCTTGTCTTACTACAGTATTTATGTACTAAATCAGTTGTATTTTACATACAGCTCTATGATTCTTGTCATGCTTTCCATTATATATATGCAGTAACTGTATATAATTTTTTGTTTTGTTTTGTTAATTATGAAAAACTGATGCTCCTCAGTTAAGTAATATTACAGTAATATGCAGAATTGAAAACACATTTCAGACTGCTTTTAGGCCTGCAGTACGTACTGGTGTGCAGCTTGTAGTTGGTGTGAAGCTTGAAGCTAAAACCTTTCTGATGGGACTGCATTTACCATCCTTTTAATTACAACTCTATTAAAGTAGGGAAATTTATTAAATATTTCAGATTTTGTTGAAAAGTAAATGGATACTGATAGTTTAGTTTTCTGGTAAACAAGTATCTTCTGATAGTCAATAAACATTTTGTATTAATATATAGTGGCTCATGTTATGCTGAAATTATCTTATATATTGTGTTTTTGTAGGCGAACCCACCCCTGAACCAGACAAAGAATACAACGAAGAAAGTTGGACTGACCCCGAGTCCGCTACAATCGACACCTATACTAAGTCTAAAGCTGTTGCTGAAAAGGCAGCATGGGACTTTGTGAAGGAACTTCCAGGTTGGTGTGCAGAGTGTAATTAACAGTACATACACTGTTTAATTATACACTAAGGATTTAGTCACACACTCTTTACTAACCACTTTCACCCATCCATGTCCCTTTCCATCCTTGTCCCATCCCTGTAAAATATATATTTATATTTATTAGCTTAGCGGGGGCTTTTCGTCGACCAGGTCTCCTGGTTGCTGGACTTAACACTTTCGCGCTCTCCGCAAAGGTCACTCAGCCAACCGAATGTGCGCGCTGCGTTTTTATCGCTTAAGCGTAAAAAACAAAAATGTGTATACTCTTTTTACTCTCCTGACCTTAGTTCTCATGCTACGTATTTCATTTTGGCACCAACGTGTTTGCAATAAAATTCTCTAGAAGAACATTAGTAAAATAAGTCACGAAACATATAGGGATACCAGCACCAAATAAATAACTACGTAGATGACTCGCCGTGAGCGCCCATCAGCAACAAAATGTTTTTACTCTTGGGATTATAATCACCTCCACACTTGTTCTACAGCGTTAATTTTGGTATCAATGGACTCGCAATGAAATTCCCAACACGGTGATATGAATATAAGCGTTGAATATTGATGCAGCCCGCCCGCAAGAGTGTGGGAAGTGGTGAAATTGTTACCCGGTATCGGTGACGGGACGACGCACAGCGCTTTGAAAGTTTATACTTATTTCACTCTCATGACATTAATTTTCTATGTACGTCATTCATTTTCATGTCAATGTATTCGCAATAGAATGTTCTATGTGCCCATAGGTAAAAAATATCAACAAAGCGTAAGTTAGAATAGCGACAAATATAAAACAACGCTGGAACATATCAGTGAGCGTCAAACACACACGAAATATTTTTACTTTTGTTATGTTTGTCAAGATTATACTTGTTGCACACAGTTATTTTTGGTTGTATATTGATCGGAATAAAATTCCCTAAACAGACATATGCATATAATACATGATATGGGGGAAGAATTACCAGTATAAACGGCTAAAGTCACCCACCTGCAACCCGTTTGGGACAAAATACCATTTGATCGACGTTATCCACACCTTTCATGAACTTATTGTACCATGCAGCCTAGTGGTGAGAAAGAGAGCCTCATAGCGCGCAGTTTGAAACAAACCCAAAGTAAATCGGATAAAAATTGAATTTTATACAAATATTTTAAAAGTTGACATAACTTTATGTCCACTATGCGTTTACGTTAGACGAAACCGAACGCGCCGGCGCGTCCAGATAGCGCGAAAGTGTTAAGGTGGAGTAATATGGTGATGAAATTAGGTACAGTATTTCATTGTTCTACTTCTGATAAAGTATAGGTTAAAAAAAGAAATCACTTCATCGGGAAATGTGTTGCATACATGGGGTACCATGTATTTGTATGGCATGTTTGCATAGATTGTCCGACTAGGAATATTAAAAAAAAAAATAAAGATATTCATTTCTGGCATGATGTTCATGGATTTTATTACTTCTATCTAGGAAGTTTCAGAACAGGATTAGAATCGAGAATTAAGGCTTTGTAAGTAGAAATCGCACAAGAGAATATGTGGATTGAGGGCATGTTTAGCATGTTTTGGCATTTCAAGAGAGAGTGCTGTATGTTTCCTGTAGCGAGAATTTGTTATAGTTCTGATACAGTAGCTGGTGTTTGCTTGGTGGTGATAGGCTCAAGGTAGTTTGGAGTGGTTGAGCCCCATGCACAGATGCATTGATATCTATCTATCTATCTATCTATCTATCTATCTATCTATCTATCTATCTATCTATCTCTCTCTCTCTCTCTCTCTCTCTCTCTCTCTCTCTCTCTCTCTCTCTCTCTCTCTCTCTCTCTCTCTCTCTCTCTCTCTCTCTCTCTCTCTCTCTCTCTCTCTCTCTCTCTCTCTCTCTCTCTCTCTCTCTCTCTCTCTCTCTCTCTCTCTCTCTCTCTCTCTCTCTCTCTCTCTCTCTCTCTCTCTCTCTCTCTCTCTCTCTCTCTCTCTCTCTCTCTCTCTCTCTCTCTATCTATCTATCTCTCTATCTCTCTATCTCTATCTCTATCTCTCTCTCTCACTCTCTCACACTCTCACACTCTCACACTCTCACACTCTCACACACACACACACACACACACACACACACACACACACACACACACACACACACACACACACACACACACACGTACGTACGTGTGTTAAGTGAGAAGGTGGTGGAGGCCAAGACCGTCAGTAGTTTCAAAGCGTTATATGACAAAGAGTGCTGGGAAGACGGGACACCACGAGCATAGCTCTCATCCTGTAACTACACTTAGGTAATTACACACTCACACTCACTCACTCACTCTATCCACGTGATCACCATGTTCACCTGTAAAATTAACTTGAATATATTCTTTTCATCAGTCTTCCATCATCCATTTGTTGAACTTTTCCAAACATCTCAGTACACTCTTCTCAATCTTTTGGTTTAATGGCATTTACACTCCTCATCTTTGACATGTTAATACAATACTGTACTTTATATATTTTCCTAGCACCACACATGCTACTTAACCAGCATTATTAATACAATTCCTGTAATTTTAGATGACCAGAAGTTTGAACTAGCAGTGATCAACCCAACTCTCATCCTGGGACCAGCACTTATAGAAGGGCACAAGAGTGCCACTTCAGTTAATTTTATGGTACAGATTGTAAATAAGGCATACCCAGCTGTCCCTCGATTGAATGTCCCAATTTGTGATGTACGGGATGTGGCAAAAGCCCACGTGAAGGTTAGTCAGTTGATTTATTGTTCTAGAGGCCAGTTTAGGTTTATAGTCAAATATTTAAGACTTAAAAATAATGTGAAGAATAGTTTTCTTTGAATATTGCATCTTACAATGCAATTAATGAAAATATATATTTTGATACCAAGACGATGCTTACTTTTAATATGATTTTTAATATTATATTTTATTTCTCAACCCAATAGGCCTTGACACTGCCTGAAGCGGCAAACAATCGCCACATTATATACACGGATAGTGTGTGGGTGAAAGACATCGCACTGGCAGTTGCCAAAGAGTTCAAACCTCAGGGGTACTCCATCCCTACAGGACAGCTACCCTACTTCTTGTGTTGGGTGGCTGGACTCTTCAATAAAAGCATGAAAAATAATATCTTGCCTCGCATTGGCAAAGTGATGAAGATCGACAATAAAAGGGTAGGCATTACCAACGTACTGAAAAGTGATATTATATTAAATCTGGTTTATGTCCCTTTCATTTTTTGTTTAGAGTTTTATGCAGATTATCACCTCAGTCTTACATCTATTTCTGTCTTTAGTATTTCTGTATTAGGGACTTGTGTTTTAATTATATGGTTTTTACAGATGGTGGAGGTCTTAGGGTTGGAACCAACAGCAGTTGACTGTACCCTGAATGATATGGTCTATTCTCTAGTTGATATTGGTATTGTACGCAAGGCAAAGAAATATAAGCAAGTAAGTACTATACAGTGTATTTGTTTACTGGAGTTTTTGTTAATATATTAGTTTATATATATATATAAATGAGAGGATCGTGACGGTCCATGACGAGGATCGTCACGGTCACGGCCCTGTGGATTTGTGGATTTGTGGATTTGTTCATTTGATGCATCACGTTAGTGTGATCTCTGTGTGTATTGATAAGGCATGTGCATAAATAATTAAATACACCAGAGAAAGGGAAACAGTAGGTGTTGAGAATTTTTCAGGATCATGAGATAGCGGTACTGTACTGGATGATTGAAAAATGAGCTGTGATTATATAATTATTTATAAGGGGTGAATGAAAGACGTATTATTTATGCAAGACAAAGTGTCCTTGCAGTCGGTTCACAACTGGCTGGTTCTTTGTTCAGTTTCCTGGGCAGGAAGAGGAGACATAGGGTACATGTAATGCCTCTATTCACCAAGTGTTGCCTAGGTTCCTGGGTATTAGCCCACCGTTGTGGGTTGCATCCTGAGGGTGGCCAGTTGTTAATTAGAAGGACCTCAATAAACGTAACTGGCTTCCTGTCACTGACAGTAGGAAATCATTTGTGCTTGTGGGAAATGCCAGCTGTGAGGCTCTGCCTTGTGGCTATTGATTGTCTGATGCAATGACTTCCACTCTCGTGTTTTATTGCACCTACGTTGGAATTGTGAATGGAGTCAGCCTCCAGTGCCTCCTCCTCCAGTTGTGATTGGAGCTGTGCATCATCCTCCTCCAGCTGTAAATGGAGTCAGCCTTTTCATCCTTTTAGCTTATTCTATTGGCTCTGCACACTGTTGAATGCAAAATTTGAGTTCAACATAATAACTACGATATACAATGATGGCAATGATTACATTGGTGAAGTTGCTTGTCTTAAGTCCTAATATTGGGAGAGTGGGTAGCATAAGATACAGTGTGAGTTTGAAGGACAAGGTAATGGTAAGCTCCTGATTACTCTTACCAATTCAGGTAAAGGGAGTGATAAATTTGAAATGATAAACTCTGAACAAATTTAAGTTTTTGTGTCTACCCATATTTCCACTATTAAATGTGTCAAGATAATCTCTTGGTGATATGTGGTATTTACAGGAATGTGTGTAGGCTCATATGCCGGATCCTGCAGAAAACAAAATATCAGGAAATGTAAATACACTATAGGTGGATTTCAAGAATGTACCAGTTGGCTTAAGTTGTCATTACAGTGTTAAGTTGGTCAGTAATAAGAATGTTGATAGGTCATTAAACATAAATTAAAAGCAAATTAGTAAGTCTTAAGATTGTTTAAAATATCATAACTATTTTATATTTAACGAGGGTGTAACACTTTACATTACTGAATTGCAAGTACCATCATGCCTGGAAATAAGCATATTTAGGATAGGGTATTGGTGGAAAAATGGAGATCTAGCAAGTGCAGTAAATCATGGAGAAGCATGGCATGAAAGAAACATTAGCTGACAAGAGTTAGTGTTGTGAGGGGTAATGCGCGTACGATCACTGTACAGCATCTTGCAGCACTTACAGCACTCGATCATGTAAAGAAGGCACCCTTAACATCATACCTTGTGTTGGTTTCGGGGCTTAGCGTCCCCGCGGCCCGGTCATTGCCCAGGCCTCCTCGTTGCTGGATGGCATGGCTTGAAACACAGCAGGATTTTATTTTCATTGCATATATAGTAATGTACAGTACTGCATTGCTTTGCTGAAGGTCTTTATTTTTATTTTTGTCACTAATGGAAAATAATTTGATAGTTATAATGCTTATTTTGGTTTTTGGTTTGAAGTTTCTTGCATTTTTACTAATATTTGTATTATGTTTTAATTAATTATTATTGCAGGCTGGCTCTCGAGCAGAAGTGCCGGCTGTCAACGGAGATGTGGAAGATGATAAGAAGGAGGAGAAAGAAGGTGAAGAAAAAGATGAGGGTGGAGAGAAGAAGGAACTTGAGCCTGAAGATAAAGAAGGTAAAACAAAGGGAAATGCATTCAAAATTTTGCATTCTCTAATATACCAGGAGAATTTTGCTTAATAGATGGCATGGAAGAATTATCTGCTCAGTCATATATTCATTTTTATTTGCTTTATATTGTTTATGCAAATTTGGCATGCACCATTGGCATTTGTTTCTCATCTCCATGCACTTAATATCAAAACATTCAAATATTTGGAGAACAATAATTATCATGGGTTTTCCCTTTGTGTTACCAGTGTATGGTTACAGTATTAACACCTGTTACCAGTGTACTGTTACAGTATTAACACCTGTTACCAGTGTACTGTTACAGTATTAACACCTGTTACCAGTGTACTGTTACAGTATTAACACCTGTTACCAGTGTACTGTTACAGCATTATTAACACCTGTTACCAGTGTACTGTTACAGCATTAACACCTGTTATCAGTGTACTGTTACAGTATTATTAACACCTGTTATCAGTGTACTGTTACAGTATTAAAACCTGTTACCAGTGTTACCATTTGATATTATCATCTCTCATAAACACCACTTTTTGGGGGTTTTGGGTTTTCTCCCAGAATTAGGATCACTTTATAAAAAAAAATTATTATTACTATTATTATTATTATTTTGACGAGACCACACACTAGAAGGTGAAGGGACGACGACGTTTCGGTCCGCCCTGGACCATTCTCAAGTCAAATCGACTTGAGAATGGTCCAGGACGGACCGAAACGTCGTCGTCCCTTCACCTTTTAGTGTGTGGTCTCGTCAACATAATTTAGCCACGTTATTGTGACTCATCGCCTGCTTATTATTAGTGTTATTATTATTTGGAGCCTTTACTTTTCATATTATTTTTGTTTATCAGTCTATTTAATTATATTTTTATAAATAACGTTAAATTATAATGTAAATTAATGTTGTGGTTATGTTCCAAATTCTTTGGCCTTAACCCTCAAACCGCTAGGGGCCCAAATGGAATTCACACCCACAGGCGCAACAAAAAAAAAAATCCAAAAAATTCTTTCGTCTTATAGAAGTGTTCATTTTTGTTCCCTGATCAAGGAAAAAATAACAAAAAAATTGTAGGTGGCATATTTTAGCCGCAATAGGGTAGGGAATTGTCGCAAAAAAGGGGCGTTGGCAGAACCTTCGCCAGACGAGGTCTACTCCGCCTGAGCTGTCAGACGGCAGTTGCCACAAATATATTATTACCTAATTATTTCAATGTCTCTGATTGATTTTTTCTTAGTTTTTTTGCAGTAATATTATTCCATACAGTGAATTGTGGTATATTTATATTATAAAATGTGTGAACCATCGCTGTACTCAAAATTATGGTGTGCATATTAGTGATTCAATTATTATGTTCATAAAACAATAAACAAATAGTTTTGCTGTTGTTACACTATATACACAGGTTATATATAAGTATTTGCATGTTTTGTACACCATAACGAACTACTAAGTTGGTCTTGTGAGTCAAAAAGCAACGAGGAGTGATCGCCAAACACCAGCGAGCCACTCACTGCCACTCCCTCCCTCAACACCACCTCACTCACCCTCATTTACCTCCCACAATACTCTTTCTGTATTTATTCACTATACACAGACGTTATATATACGTATTTACATGTTTTGTTCACCATAACTGTACATCTAAGCTTGTATGGTGAGTAAAGGCCATAAGACGTAGCTACTCACACAGTCTGCTGATCGGCGGCCGCCCTCAAGGCCAGACGCACTAATATTTGTCCTCCAACAATATTGTTTGTGGTGTTGTTACGCTATATACACACATTATATATAAGTATCTACCTGTTTTATTCACCATACCTGAACAAATAAGCTGGTATGGTGCCCAAAGATCATAGTGGCCATCAGTAAACATGCCAAGTCGTGCATTGACGCTCCTCCCTCACCAAAATGGCGGCTCCCAACCTACTCCTCTCGCTGTTATCTCACACTATACACACGTTATATATAAGTATCTACATTTGTGTTCACCATATCGAACCACTAAGCTGGTATGGTGAGTGCAGTCAATAAATGGTGGCCACACACAGTCAGAAAACGACGCCACAACCCTCCCTCCCAAAGTCTTACTCCTCCCTCCATGGAGCACAGCGCTAAATATCACCACAATCCTGCTATTATCAGAATCCTGGTCAGTTTTATCACAGTCAGGGGGCTTCAGTAATACTATCACTGCTAAATAATAGCAGTATCATTTATATTATGGTATTTGTAGGCGATGCTGTGGTCACAAGCTGAACAGCGGTGCTGTGAGCTCATGCTGCGTGCGCCAGCCTTGGTGGCTTGCTCAATACTGACGCTCTAACACCCAAGAATGTTGGCCTGGATTTTTTTTCTAGGTGGCATCTGGCAACTATCGGTCGTGGCTGTACTATAGCTGCCCCTATCTCAGGCGGGGCGTTTAAATTATAGCGCTAGACACGAAATCATATATAAATGATGTGCGCGGTTTCGGTTTTGTCACTGATATCATTTATATATGATATGCGCGGTTTGAGGGTTAATCATTAGTTCTAAATTAAGTTATAGCTGCAACACAAAAAAAGATAAAAACGTTTTTGTGTTCCAATTTTTCTTTTTCTCTCATCACTATAGCAAAAACAAAAACTGTACTTGATATAGATTGTAAATTTTAGGGTTTTTATTCAAAACTTAGAGGATAAGGGTAATGGGTGTCAATATAGATGTTATAATCCACCTGAATATTATACAGTATGAGAGATGTAGGGTGTAAGTCATTTAAATTTAACCCTATGATTTACAGTATCACAGTTCCTATGTATTTTGTGGCAGGACTTGCTGGCATTTTTGCCGAGCATACAGTAATTTAATTAAGCATTGGGTTCTCTGAAGGGCAGTTTGATAGAGCACTATTTGTGGTACAGTATTTGAGTGGCCACTATTATGCAGTATCTAACTTTGTGGCCATATAGTGCAAGTGTGCTATACACTGGCTACTTCTGGTCGCTTCTTCATAGTTGTGTGGGGGGTATTTTTGTTTAACTCTCATATCTCACACTGGAACAGCATTCGAAGATGTATTTTGATCATGGGCTTCCCTCATTCATCCTGATCTTATGCTGTTTCATTCCCTACTGAAGGATCTGTGGTATCTGAGGTTTAGGATGGAATATAAATTTATTAATTTATATAATCAGTTATGTAATGGCAATTGTCTTCAAGGAACTGCTCCCTACATTTCCTAAAATTACGGAGAAAGAATTCAATCACTGTTTATTCTTGTTCATCAGTTCCTTATTCATCAGTAGCATGGTACTCTGCATTACAGACCTCCCTGAAAGACTAGTCAAAATACATCAAACAAAGCAACATCATTTATCTTTGTCAACATACAGGGACTAAAAACAAAGACAAGAAATAGAATACCATTCATAAATGGCCTCGTCACAGAGGCAAATGCAGTATCCGGAGTGTTCCTGGAAACCTACACTGGAGAATTAATAGAAAATGAGATATGGATGCCAGAATAAAATCTATTTAGATGTGATAGGCTAAATAGGTCACATGGAGGAGTAGGTTTGTAACCTAGAGTGGACCTTATATGCTTGGAGTTCATTAACTCTACAAATGAGGTAGTTGGGGGTGAAAATGGAGAAAATAAACTTGGTTATTATTATAATACAGTATAAAAACCACTAGATGCAGCATTGAAGAATTCACAAAACATATAAACAAAATATAGAGAATAGCATCGATAACCTGGCAAACCCAATACCAGATATTATCTTTCTTGGAAATGTCAACCTGCCCAATCTATGATGATAAACAGCAAACAATAATAATATACCAGGAAATCTATCAAGAAATAGCCAACCACAGGTCATAGAACAACTAAGATTTTGTGACAAATTTTAGCTCAGCCAGCAGATAATGAGTCAACTAAGTCAAAAAAAATTCTAGATCTGATCTTCACAATGCTGAAATAATCAGGGACATTATAATCTCAGATACCACATATTCAGACCACAAGCTCATCAAAGTGCAAACGAACATCAGTACTTGTAACAGAGTTTAAAAACATGATCAAGCAAGAGGGGGTTATACAATAAACTCAGTTTTAATAATAAAAGGATAGAAAGATAAGACTGGAATAAAATAAGCATGGAACTTACACGTATTCAATGGGGAATCATTCAAAGTAATAAAAATCCCAAATCAAAGACAAGTTTGCGTCTGTACCTTCTCAAAGTTCTCGGCCTACGTTGTCATTACAGTATATAACCGTGGGTAGCGTTCATGATACCTTTCTTCTCGGATGGAATTAGATTGTCAAGGGGGTGTGGCTGCTTTTCCTTTTTCCTACAGCTGCTATTTACACTACTGGAGCACATGTGAGCTTGCCCCTGTTTGTAGTTATGGTGATTCTGTCAACACTATACTTGTTTTAGGAAGCAACTGATTGGCACAACTTGGAATTCTTTCTTTGGGTGTATATGAAAAGCATTTGGTTGCTCCCAGTGCCACCCTTTGTGTGTATGTGGGATTGAGTGTTGTATAGTGTCTCTTCTGTCAGGGCCAGGTTTAGGCACAAGCTGAAGCTGCTACTGTAGAGCTCGGCACCTTCACAGTCTTAATGGGCCTCGCAAAGTTATTTTCCTATGAACATGAAACTGAATAATTGGACAGGAAATAAAAGTTATTAGCACTGATGGAATTTGGATGTTTGGTCATAGTTCTAATATGTATTTGTGATTTATTATTTATTATGTTTATACTCCTTTTAATATATATTTATATTACTGGTGGTATAACTTGTATTTAATTGTACAGCATTAACAATTACCTTGTAGAAAATTTGAAGTAGCCTACTTGTAATGGGTTGTGTTTAACAAGGTACAGTATTCAGCCTGTTGTGGTTTCTTATTTACATTTCAAACTTAATGATTTCAGAGAAAAAAGAAGGCGAAGAAATTAAAGAAGATAAACCAGAACAGAAGGAGGAAATCAAAGATAAAGAGGAAGGTGCAAAGGAAGAGAAGAAGGAGGAAACCGAGTCTGAGAAATGAAAAATGAAAAGGAGGAGTAAGAGTGAAGATTATTCTGAACTCTCCAAATTTCGTATCTGGATCAGTTTGAGTTTTGATAGTCCGACTGAGTGTGGGGCAATGGTGCAAACCTACAAGTAGAGGAGAATGTTCACAGGACTTTTGGAAAGAATGTCTATATGTGGAGTCCATTATTGTTTTGTCTGTTGAAAGGTGCTCAATGTTTTATGTTTTTCAATACTTCATACGTAGTCCTTTTTTTTGTCAGGTTTGTTTTCAGTATTAATGTATTACCAATGCATATCTACTTATAAATGTGTGTATTGAGTCAGTGTGAAGTCTGAAAGGATTTGTATGTTACTACAGTTCAAAGTAGCATGGAATCGGTAATGCAGATGAATAGGCTGAGAACATAATTTTTTTCCCCTCATGATTTGACAATAACTTATCAAAAGTTACAATCTTTGCAGCTTCAAACAGGATATTCTATTTGATTAATTGAGGTGCCTTGATTTTTTGAAACCTTGATGTGATAGCAGTCAGGCCAGACAAAAGGGATGTCTGTCAACTTTTGGGAATTGCACATTCCACACACTGGCATTTAATTTACTCTGCCTTATTCAAGTGCATCTAATATTTATTATAGACTTTTATACACAGAAGATTTGATTATCTTATTCTTATTAACCTGTTTAATACTCCCATAACTCAAACTCCTCAAGGTTAAACAATGATTGGCAGAACAAGTATCACTGACAAGGGAGTAGTGCAAGACAATATTGGCATCATTGCCAAATGAAGATTAAGCAGTGAAAAATATTTGAGGACTTACATAAAAGGAAATATGGCTATGTTTACAGCATATCTTTAGAATTATTTAAGGCAAATATTAGTCATGAATACTGTTTGCAAAATGCCATTGTATTCCATGGTGGAATATCAAGTTATTAGTGGTAATATTTATCTAACAAGGTGTGTCGGCAAAACCTAAATGCTTAGAAACAAACAAGACAACTTACACATCATTTAATATAAATGTCTGGAGCACGTCTTCCTCTATTTCTCCCTCTACTTCGTTTACATCTACTGTACTAAGGGGACGTGGCCAGTTTTAAGTAAGTATGTTTCTTGGTGCACAGGTTTTGAGGATTTACCTTTTATCTGTGATTAAGTAATTGGTCATGACAAGAATATTCTCCATGCTTACAATTTGTAGTAGCATTTTCTTATGAATGTATATATTTTTACTATTTCTTAATTTTGTATGCACTTGTATGAAATGTCAAATGATGTGATATTTTTGTTATTGCTCAATTTAGTTTGCGTAGAATAAAATTCTTATGATGAAAAGTTTCTGCCATAGAGTGTGCATCCTTGCGCCAAAAACAAAAAAAAACACGAAAGTAGAAACTGGTAGATTTTGTACCAGCTGTAATATTCTTATAACTTCATCATTAATTCTTGTATAACAGGAAGTTGTAGTAAAAAGCACCATTTTGTTGCGTATCAAAATGTTGGAGCATTTCTTTCTTCATGCTGCTGCAATAGGTTGTAAGTCTAAATTATTCAATAACTTCAGGGAGTTTTCCCACCATGACACTGGTACGGTAAATGTTTGAATTTTAACAAGTCATTGAAACGAAAAGCTCCCTTTGATGGCCTGTTCAAGACAAATTACATATATTTAAATAAAGTGCTTCTAACATCATTCATTTTCTCTGGTTTGCACAAAAGGAAAAAAGAAGTACTGTAGGTCCATATTTAGGATTATGCGATTCACAGATACACATCTTTTTAATATACTGTATATTTGAGATAAGTGTCTGGCCGTACTATAATGTGAGACCAGGAAGTTGTATACATGTTGGCTGGATTGTGTCGTAATGGAGGTAACACTGAGTTAATGCCTTTAATGTCAGTAATGACTTAATGTGTGTAGCTTTTGAGGCTGTTTACCTCATCCACTGGCTAGCATTCCTTCATTTATTTTATACAATAGATTTATACTTCTTAAATGGGTAGGGTGTGCTGTACCACCCTAATGCATTGTTTCATTATTTTGATAGATTGAAAGGAGTATAGCCACTCCGAGGCATCTCTTACAAGTTCTTTTGGTGTTCCTGTTTCTCTTCATGACACTTATAACTAAAAAAATAAAAAAATAGCCTCCAGGTATGTTCAGTAAGATGGCTAATGGGTGGACCAGTGTCATTAAACAGTGACAGTTGACTTAAGTGGATGATTTATCTTTTACAAAGTGTGTTAACCTATTAACTTCCATCATAGGCCAAAACTTGTCACATCAAATTATATATATCCAAAGGTAGATAGGTTTTTGATATACAGTATTTAAGTAAAGGCCACCTTTACCCTGCCAATACTGCCAAATCTTGTGGGGCCAATGCTGAAGTTTCAGTATGACATACAGTTCAAGTACATGTTCGAGGCAGATTCCATAATGAATTATATTCTTAAGCCTGATGGGTTGCTTTTAGGAATGATTATCATTCCATTCAGTCAGCGGAAACTGATCAAATGCACAAAGCTTTAGAGGGCCATCTGTAATTATCAGTTTTTATATGAAAATACAGGTTTCTGTTAATCCAGTTTAACCAGTTTCGTATTTTTTAGAGTAGAGCAAAAATTGCCCAATAAAATTATTATTTTTTAAGAACAGTGAATATATGATGAAAGCCACTGTTATTATAGTGTGTGTATATTGTGAAATGTATTTATATTGTAATTATAGATGGCCCTTAAGTTATATACAGTACATGTGATTTAGGAGTTAATTCGTGGCAATGTCCATCTGATAACGTATCCCTCTGCTCCTCCACTTGAATGGAAAATTACTGAATGAATTCCATTTAGTGTGTAGCTGGATGAATATTATGCAAGAGCCAGACAAGTTTGCTGCTAGAATTGGTGTAAGTGAGGCTGGAGCCGCAGATATATTAGGCCAGAAAAACATAACAAAAAAAAACAAAAACAGTGTTCACTTGGATATTAATATACAAAGCTCCATGGTGAAGACAGTATTACAGATAGTGAATCATTATCTTATGCATGTTGGAGGAATGCAGTTTTGAATTGTCAGTGATGGCCTAGGTTTGAAGTGGGTTGTGATGGCTTAGTGGTGCATCAGGAACAGTAAAGGCTAAGTCTGTATACAGTGTTTTATTGATCCTCTTTCCTGTCTGTATATAGTGTTTACCGATCCTCTTTTCTGTCTGTATATAGTGTTTACCGATCCTCTTTCCTGTCTGTATACAGTGTTTACTGATCCTCTTTTCTGTCTGTATACAGTGTTTACCGATCCTCTTATCTGTCTGTATACAGTTTACTGATCCTCTTTCCAATAATTATTAAATGTTCTCCAATCTCTTTTGTTAATATTATCAAATTTAACAATGCTTTTGAAGACAATAATGAGTGTTTGACCAGCAGGCTATAATATCCAATCAGCTGACTGTCCAATTACTCACGGCATCATCAAACAGGCCTGGCCACTACTCTAGCATCTCCCAACATTCAGTGTCCCCCTGGTTCTAGGACACCTCCATTACTCTAAAGACATAGATACTGCAGGCTGAGAACCCCTGCTGTAGACTGGCATCCATACCAGTATGGATGCCAGTAGTACAATAATAATAATAATAATAATAAATTATTTACACAAGAGTACATTCTTACATATGATACAAGAACAATGGAGGAATCATAGGCAAGACAAAATGACCCTTAATCAATAGGCTCTATTACAGTCCAATTGTCCTTGGCTCCATCTATTAAGAATTGGGCATTAGTCAATAGAAAGGCACCATCCAATAGGACTTTATACCACCTAATAAGCCCTATTAATAACCCTACAGTCTCTGGCACTACCTAATTGTCTTTGGTACAGCCCTACACGACTTTGCACCATTCAATAGACAATGGCAATATGTAACAGACTGGCTCTACCCCAATCCTCCTCAACCAATCGGCTCTGACACATTCCAATAGACTTGTACTACCTAATAGTTTTTAAACCACCAATGGCAGGCCCTGGAACTACCTAATAATGTATGGCATAACATAACTCTGACACTCCCCTAACATACCATTGCATCACCCAAATAAACCCTATGCCAGGACCCAGTGGGTGATGACAATCCAGGGATTTAATATCCTAATGATCAATAATCAAATCAAATCAAATGTGTATTCAGGTAAAAGTACATACATACAAGATGAGTTACAAACATATTGTTGGATTTCTAGAAAGAGTTAGTACATACAATACTAAAGCCACTAATATGCAAGGGTATTACTCCCAACATTCTCATTCGGGCAAGGTGTGGGGAAAAACACTTAGACTAAAACTGAATACTAATTGAGATCAAAGCATAAATTGAGTTGAATAAGGGAAAAGAGGGGGGGGGGGGGGGAGGGAAGAGACATGGCGGAAATCAACAGTTATACAAATAAGAAATTATCAAAGAAGGCATCAGCAGTTATACAAGTTGGTCAACAAACAGTATTGTTTGTTGACCAACCCTTCCTCACGTATCACAGTACCCGTCCCATAGTACCCCGTCCCATCGCCGTGGACAGCAGAATAGTCTGATCAAATTTGAAGGAAAATTTTAATTTTCCATTCCCAGTTCTGGTATTTTCACCTAGTTGTGCTTGCGGGGATTGAGCTCTGGTTCCTTGGTCCCGACTCTCAACTGTCAATCAACAGGTGTACAGGTTCCTGAGCCTACTGGGCTCTATCATATCTACATTTGAAACTGTATGGAGTCAGCCTCCACAACATCACTGCCTAATGCATTCCATCTGTTAACTACTCTGACACTGAAAAAGTTTTTTCTAACGTCCCTATGGCTCATGTGGGTATTCAGTTTCTACATGTGTCCCCTTGTTTGTGTCCCACCAATGTTAATAGTTTATCTTCATCTCTTCATCTACCCCTGTTAATTCCTCTGAGAATTGCATAGGTAGTGACCCAACCCGTCCTCAAACCAAGTCCATACCATCCAGAGGTCGACCCCAAAGATGTATTCATTAATTTTAACATGCTGTTCATTCAAATCACTAATTTTATCAAATATAAATTAATATTATTTTACATTAGCATATTGTACATATTCAAGATGGGATCATTATTGGTTCATTAGAGACTCGTTCGTATTTGGGGAAGTGAAGGAGTGGTTGTTGGCCATTGATAATTGACACTTCAGACTCGCAAAATGTTAACCAATGGGGTGAGGTGTTGGGGTGAATGTCAACCAATCAGAGGCCGGGTTTGGCTGCCTGCTGGTTATAAAAGGGAGGATGAGACCAAATGCACTTCAGTGTGTTTTAACTCACTTTTGGTATACAGTTCCAGCTTCGTCTCTTGGAGGTGAGCTGTATGGGTGGTGGTCCCCCTTCTCCCCTGCCCCCTGGTTGCGCTCCCCCCCCTTCTCCCCTGCCCCCTTGTTGCGTCTCCCCCACCTTTCCCTGCCCCCTTGTTGCGTCTCCCCCCCTTTCCCTGCCCCCTTGTTGCGTCTCCCCTTCCCTCCCCTGTCCCTTGTTGCGTCCCCCCCTTTCCCTGCCACCTTGTTGCGTCCAACATTTAACAATACTTTTACTTTAGTGTAGAACAGTAATTTAATTTACTTTAGTTAAACTGTTACTACAAAGGTATAGCATTCATGGTTCTTGTAGGTTTTTTGCTTGGCACTCCCTTTCCTCCCCCCCCCCCTTCCTCCCCCCCAAACAGAAGTTTTAGGTTCTGATTTTGAAATTAGTCAACCTAGATGTTTGTAATCTAAAACCTCTAGCCTAGAGGCTTGACACGGTTTTAGACTATCTTGGATAGTAACTTGACAGTTAATTACTAATTTAACTTGGAAGCGAATATCAACTTCAAATTGTTACAAAAATGGTAAAATAAAATGTTTTACCTTGGTTTGTCTTATTGACGATGTTCTTGTAGCAGGGTTAGTCTAAATGTGCTCTTCAGTCTTAAATTGGTATTACTTTTCAGATTCCAGAATGGTTCTGCTTAACATACTGTGGGAGGGAAAGGCGCCCGGGGACCACTACATGGCCCCAGCCTTGGTGGTTTTCCATTCCATTCGGCCCCAGCTTAAGTCCCTCTGTGTTAAAAGACCACAGCAATCTCGACACTCCATCCTGTGGGATACATGATAACGTAGTAAGTTTTCTAGTTCGATTTAGGTTAAAATCTAAATCCCGTAGATCAAACTAGTAATGTATTTAAGAGTACCGAAGATGCAAGTTACAATCCTCATGACTTATTGTCGCATTTTAGTAAATTTAGATTAATTTTACTTTCAGGCTCGTGAATAGGGCTGGTAAGAACTAGCATTTCTTACGGTGCGTGAAGACTGTTGCCTACAGCTTGGATAAAGCGAACTCTTGGTGCCTAGTCTTGGCAGAGGCTTCCAGCTAGTTGGTATCAAAGATGAGGATAAGGACGACTTCATAAAGAACATTATCGCCGGAAGTGAGTTTATTGGTTAGCGTTTAAAATGGTTAAATTTTTGAAATGCATGTGATTAAACATTTAAATATGGTCATCCTGCTGGACTAAGATATGCTAAATGGCAAAGAATTTATGTAAAAGTACGTAATATTTTTTAGGAGGGATCCAGTTCATGTGGACAAGAGGGAGGCAGGACCTGGAGGTGGTCATCCTGGTGAACCTTGGCCTGCACCAACCTGTCTCACGTTGAAGGGTCCGTATGACTTTTTGTTTTTACTATATTATACAACTCATTGTCATTACCTAAGGGAGTTTTTGGTACGTTTTTGAAGTGTAGGTTACTTGGCTACAATGGCTGTAAAGAATGTTAATGTGAAAGTTAATCTTAGACATAAATCTTAACATTTTAAGGAATGTAATGATTCTGATAACTCTCCTCCCGTCTCCAGGCTCCGGCGACCAGAGCCACACAACAGGGAAGGCAACGAGGACTCGGGTACTGATCATTTATAACGACGGCATAAAGTGGCAAGACATTGCTCGTCACCACAGTGTCATCTGTGAGACCGGCGTTTAATTTTTTTGCCAGAAAATGGCCTGAATAGTAAATTTTGTAAAATATTAAAATTTAAACATAATCTTCTAGAATACCTCGGCCAGGAAGTCTCTTTATGCTTTGTCTACACAACTTGCCACTAGGAACCTAGTGTCATTCGGGTAATTTTTCTTTTTAGGGAAAATATATCCCTCGGTTAAACTATTAATGGCTTGTGACTATTAGTCACAATGACATGACATTAGAACAATGCATAGTGGTATGTGAACAACCATATGTACACCAATTAGCCCCCCCCCCCTCCCCTACAGACCAGTGAAGGTGTATTACTTGTAAAGCCTGGTGGTGGCATTATTGTGGGGGTCTCCCAGTGACCTCGCTAAATGTCTAAGATGAATGACTTGTACTGTTTGTTTGGCAGAGACACACTTTCTGGAAGAAACTTGAACGCTGCCTCGACTCTCCAATGTTCTAAATACATCTTACAGGTGTTTATATTAAAAACAATTCTAACTGGTCAACTAACTTGAGTAAATGATTTCCTTAGTTGCCTATATCTCTCTCTCCACAGAACTGCATTCTATATTGGTACCCAGTATAGTAATAAAGCTCTCTAAACTATTACTTTAATTTTTACATAACATAAATCCATATTTATAGATGGAACAGATTTAAATTTCTAGTTTTAGGGAGGAAAAGGAGGGGGGGGGGGGAGAAGCGGAAAAGAAGTTTTGCCTGAAGTTCTGGCAAGACGTTAAATTTCATTGGAAAACAGAGGGATGTACTTTTAACAAATTTATCGTATTGGCATCCTTGGTGATATTTATCGCCCTCTGATTATCCCGCACATTTGAAGGTGCTACATAGCCTTCCCGGTTGGGTGCCTTTTGATAATTACTTGCTTGTACGGTCCTTAAAGCCCTCACTCTCATGTCGTGTCTTGACCTTTACCACTCCTGTGGTTCCTGTTTTTCATCACCTACCTTTCTCTGTACGGTTGTCTGGCTTACAAAATGCTGTTTCGGTTCGTGTTGCCAATACATATTTCCCCTCGTGTCGTTCTTTTCCCCCCATGGAGGGTTGCCTTTCCTAAATTTTGTAAAACCTTGCCCCACGTGACTAAAGCTTTTACCCCTTCTACGGTTCTGAAACTCCTTTTCCTTGGATCCTTTTCTTCACACTACTGCCTTCACCGATGGGTCAATGTCTGCATACTGTTGTTCCTGACCATACCCGTGTCGCCTGCCTCCGGACACTAGCAGCTTCACAGCAGAACTTTATTTTCTCTGCTAAACTGCTTTCTCTCAATCTTCCTTTGTTGTTGACTGTGCCCTCATGGTCCTTTAATCCAATCCCTGTGGTGGTAGAAATTAAACATTGGTTGTTTTTTCTCAAGTAGACATAAGACTGGAGTTTTGCTGGGTTCCCAGCCATATTGGTGACCTTAAATGAGCGTGCGGACCTGTCATATCTCGAGTAAAGGTATTCCTTGGGTTATTTAAATAACCGTTATTTATTCCTCCATTCTTAGTCTGATGTTACTGGTAACAAACTGCGTGCTCTTAAGAGTAGTGTCTCCTTGGTCTTCCTCCTACCACCGTAATCGGCTCTGGCTAGGTCACGTATTGACCATACACGTTTAACTCTCGGACACTTAATGGAGCGCCGTCCTGCTCCTTATTGTCCATCTTAGTCGTGTATATCCTTGTTGAATGTCCTGACTTCCGGGACGAGCGTGTCTTGCTTCCCGACCGTCCCTCGAGGTCACTTTTCCCCTCTATAGAATTCATAGTGAATATGTTCCGAACCTTAATGGAATCTGACCCATATATCAATCAGGTCAACCCATGTGTTGCGTTTCCAAAAGGGTCGCCCATGTTAGAATCGGTGAACGCCCTAGTAATATTGTTGAAAACATCTTAAAAAGACCTTTGGTTTAATAAGTTATTATGTCAGAAGAACGGCAGAAACTGGATCTATATATGAAAACTCTTTCAGGACAAAATTTAAAGTAAAACTAAAGATATTTGTAGTTGTATAAAAGTTGCATTTTTCATCGGTCGTAGAGCCGGAAATCCGCAATATTCATCTCAGAACAATGCTTATTTCACGCAGAATCGTTAATAAACGTAAGATTTTTATACGTCTCAAGAAAGATACCATATTACTTCATTGCTTACGTAATGCTAGGAAGGTTTGAGTAGCTTTGGGTCTTTAGTGGACAAAATCTCCAATAGATGGGGCGAGAGTCGCCCCATCTCTCTCGACCGGGCGGGACTCGAAACTTAAATTAAAATTGCTATATCATTGGTCTCCAACATGATATATTTCCTTTGATGCACTCACAATAACGATTATAGCTCTGTCTTTCTGGAGGCATGTAATATTTTAGGCTTTATTAGCGTATCTTTGTTAATTACACAACATATTGGCAAGTGCGTAGGCGTCTGCACTCCATGACCGAAAAGCTACTGAACGCCACTATAAAAACATATCTTCACTTGAGCTTTAAATATGTCTAATGTAATGTATTTAAAATAAAGCTTATATTTCTATCTTTCTTAAGACGTGTAAAACATTTGTTTATTAACGAATTTACGTAAAATAACATTCTTCTGACAGTTGCTCAGTCTATGCGGTGGTTGGAGTCATCGACAGGTAAGTCATCCTGGCTGACTTAATAATTTACTTAGTAACTCTGCAAATAGCACATCCTGGCTGACTTTACTTAATAATTTACTTAGGAACTCTGCGAATAGCACATCCTGGCTGACTTTACTTAATAATTTACTTAGTAACTCTGCAAATAGCCCATCCTGGCTGACTTTACTTAATAATTTAATTAGTAACTCTGCAAATAGCACATCCTGGCTGACTTTACGTAATGACGTAAGGCAAGGAAAAAGAACAAACATACTGAACACAGCAACGCAAAATTAAACATGCGACATGAGCAAAGCATCAACTGTCGGAGTAAATTAAGGTAGGCTGTTTGGGAAAAGGAATCCGTGGTAATCTGAAAGCAGGAGGCATGTTAGTGCTGAAATGTAGAACGTAATTAAGAGGAAGGGCAAGGCATGTCGCGAGATGTCTGCCAGTACAAAATAAGAAACCTTCCATATAAGCGTATAAAATCTTAATTTACATTGTCTTAGGAAGGCAAAGAACGGGATATCATTAAATATACGACGTTCCCGACGACGCTTCGACGCCGCCATCTGCTGGAGTGTACCGTGCCCCAGGCAACGTGGGGGCCACCCCCCTGTCCAGGTCACCTGAATAGGGCAAGTCATGGCACGTGAAGTCTGCAGGTACAAAATAAGGGTATACAATCGGCGTGCATATATAACCATTTTTACATTAGGAGAACGGAGGGAAAGCATAACAAATATAACCTGATAAGTAACGTGAATAAACTGCAAGAGTCAAGCGTAAATACTGTAACCACTGAGGAAACTAAACTGCAAAGCTAAGCATAAACTACTGTAACTACCGATGAAACTAGGCAAAAATGCAGGGCCAGGAGACGTGAAGCTAAAATAAGGGCCCGCGAATACTGCAAATAGCACATCCTGTCTGACTTTACTTAATAATTCTAGGAACTCTGCAAATAGCACATCCTGGCTGACTTTACTTAATAATTTACTTAGTAACTCTGCAACTAGCACTGCCTGTCTGACTTTACTTAATAAATTACTTGGTAACTCTGCAAATAGCACATCCTGGCTGTCTTTACTTGACGTAAGGCAGGGTAAAAGTGGGCAAGCATACTGGACACAGCAACGCAAAAATAAACATGCGACATGAGCAACGCATCAACTGTCGGAGTAAATTAAGGAGGCTGATTGGGAAAGAAAGTCCGAGGTAACCTGAAACAGGAGGCATGTTAGCGCCGAGATGTAGAACATAATTATGAATAGGGCAAGGCATGGCACGTGGTATCTGCAAGTACAAAAAGGGTATACAATCGGTGTGGATATATAGCCATGTTACATTAAGGGAACGGAGGAGATGCATAACAAATATAACCAAATAAGCGACGTGAATAACTGCAAGAGCCAAACGAAAGTACTGTAACTACTGAGGAAACTAGGCAAACTGTGCTATTATAACATAATTACAATTAATACAATTATAACATAAATAATTATAAATTGCAAAACAAAGTATGCTCAAAATAAAGCTGGACTATAATTCGTTAGAGAAACGGGATTAACACTTGTAAGTTTCCACAGTCGGTGGCTGTGGAAACGTTCCGGGCTACACCGGCAGATGAAACGTCTGGATAAACCAGCGGCCTGGGGGGGGGGGGGGCCCACTGTGACTTCCGGGCTACCAGGCAGACAACACGTCTGGATAAACCAGCGGCCTGAAAGACCACATATTTATATGGCCAATGTAAATAAGATACCTGGATAACATCGCCAGCTTAACTCACCACAGGAAGAACGTCGGCTGGACATGAACCCCCGAGCGCAGACAGCGAAGACGGCAGCGGCTATGCCAACCTTCGTGGCTACATTGGGCAGACAAAACGTCTGGAGAAACCAGCGGCCTGGGGGGCCGCAGTAGATTCCGGGCTACACCGGCAGACAACACGTCTGGATAAACCCGCGGCCAGGAAGGCCGTGTATTTATATGACCAATATAAATATAATACCTGTAGAACATCGTCGGCTTAACTCATCGCAGGAAGGACGTCGGCTTAACTCATCGCAGGAAGGACGTCGGCTTAACTCATCGCAGGAAGGACGTCGGCTTAACTCATCGCAGGAAGGACGTCGGCTTAACTCATCGCAGGAAGGACGTCGGCTTAACTCATCGCAGGAAGGACGTCGGCTTAACTCATCGCAGGAAGGACGTCGGCTTAACTCATCGCAGGAAGGACGTCGGCTTAACTCATCGCAGGAAGGACGTCGGCTTAACTCATCGCAGGAAGGACGTCGGCTTAACTCATCGCAGGAAGGACGTCGGCTTAACTCATCGCAGGAAGGACGCCGGCTTAACTCATCGCAGGAAGGACGCCGGCTTAACTCATCGCAGGAAGGACGTCGGCTTAACTCATCGCAGGAAGGACGTCGGCTTAACTCATCGCAGGAAGGACGTCGGCTTAACTCATCGCAGGAAGGACGTCGGCTGGGGAGCAGCCCCTGAACGCAGTCAGCTAAGACGGCAGCGGCTGTCAACCTTCCTGGCTACGTTGGGCAGACTAAACGTCTGAATAAACCAGCGGCCTGGGAAGCAGCAGTATCTTCCGGGCTACACTGAGCAGACAATACGTCTGATAACCAGCGTCCTGGGAGGCCGCAGTATATTCCGGGCTACACCGAGCAGACAATACGTCTGATAACCCAGCGTCCTGGGAGGCCACACATGTCTGGATAAGCCAGCAGCCGGGAGGCTGCAGATTCTTCTGGGCTACACCGGGCAGACAAAACGACTGTAAAAACGTTTACTGGTACTGGTAAACGAAACTGGTACTGTCTAGCGTCAGTACTTAATAACTTTGACAAAGTCAAGGAAACAAGTATAAAGGTAAAACAGTAAGTAAAATGACATGCACTTAGGCAATGCATAATTAGTAATAAATTGCTGATGGAACTAATCAATACGAGTCCGAGATAAACTTAAAGGGAGAGGCATGAGGCCCGAAGACAGCATCTAGGACATCCTAGCTGACTTTACTTAAAGGTGAAGCATAAGTTAAACAATTGTAAACCAGTAAAGTAAAAACATGCAGCAAGGGCAATGTAAAATGCAGGACATTTGCTGAGGAAACTAAACATAAATGCAGGGCCAGAAGAAACTTAAAGCAAGAGGCAAGGGGCCCGATCCCGACAACTATCACATCCTAGCTGACTTTACATAATAACTTAAAGGCAAAGCAGAGGTTAAACAAACGAATGTAAAACCAGCAAAGAAACTAGCAGCTTGACACTGCATAAAATTCATTAATAAATTAAGGAAACTTATGGAAAACAAGTCCATAAAAACTTAAAGCTAGAGGCCGGAGGCCTGTGAACACAGCAGCTAGCATAACCTAGCTGACTTTACATAATAACTTAAAGGCAATAGCAAAAGTTAAACAAACAAATGTAAAACCAGCTAAAGAAAACATGCAGCTTGACACTGCATAAAATTCATTAATAAAGGAAAGTTATGGAAAAACAAGTCCATGAAACAAAGCTAGGAGCCAGAGGCCCGAGACACTGCAGCTAGCCTAACCTAGCCGACTTTACCTAATAACTTATAGGCAAGCAAAGTTACACAAACCTAAGTGTAAAACCTGCAAAAGAAAACCATGCAGCTTGACACTGCATTAAATTCAATAATAAATTAAGGAAACTTATGGAAAACACAAGTCCAAGGAAATTTAAAGCTAGAGGCCGGAGGCCTGGGACACAGCAGCTAGCAACCTAGCTGACTTTACCTAATAACTTATAGGCAATGACCAAAAGTTAAAACAACCTAAATGTAAAACCAGCTAAAGAAACACGCAGCTTGACACTGCATAAAAATCAATGATAAAATGAGGAAACTTATGGAAACAAATCCAGAAAACGAAGCTAGGGGCCAGAGGCCTGTGACACTGCAGCTAGCCTAACCTAGCTAACTTTACCTACTAACTTAAAGGCAATGACCAGAAGTTAAAACAAACCTAAATTTAAATCCAGCTAAAGAAACATGCAGCTTAACACTGCATAAATTTCAGTAGTAAATTAAGGAAACTTGTGGGAAAACAGGTCCAGGAAACAAAGCTAGGGGCCAGAGGCCTGTGACACAGCAGCTAGCCTAACCTAGCTGACTTTCCCTAATAACTTAAGGCAATAAGCTAAAGTTAAATAAAACTAAAAGTACAACCTGCAAAAGAAACAGGGAGCTTGACACTGCAATAAATTCGTTAATATGTTAAGGAAACTTATGGAAAAACTAGTCCATTAAACTTAAAGCTGGTGGCCAGAGGCCTGAGACTCGGCAGCTAGCCTAACCTAGCTGACTTTACCTAATAACTTATAGGCAATAAGCAAAAGTTAAAACAGACCTGAATGAAAAGCCTGCAAAAGAAACATGCAGCTTGCCACCATTAAATTCATTAATAAATTAAGGAACTTATGAAAATACAAATCCATGAAAATTAAAGCTAGGGGCGAAAGCAAAGGTAAAATTACAGTAAATATTGTAGCGTGAGGAAACACACCCTGACTAACAGTCAGACTGTAAGGACATATAAAGAACGTAAATAATAAATAACGGCATAACAGAAGTCGCCCAACAGCATACCTCACGTCGACTGGGTGGGGAGCTTAAGGACAGGGCTGAGCAGATGGGGAAGGAGAGGGTAGGGTGGACAGGCCTCCTCCCGAGTGTGGTTCAAATAACAGCCACCTACTGGAGAAAAACCCAGTGCCCCGTAACACCGAGGGTCACCTTCCCCTCTAGGACCACTGCACCTGCATTTGGTCACCAACGCTGAACCAACAGGCGTGCTTCAGGGCGCGCGCGCCAACAAAGAGACAAACACTGGCTGACGCGCCAACACAAACACTGGTCCCGCGCGCCAACAAAACACAAAAACTACCTTAAATGTTGAGAAGGGCAGGACGCCCCTAACGGGTCACTCCGAGTCGTTGTCGCGAGGAACTGTTGTAGGGTCCATGCTGTGAGAACAGTTGAGCGGGCTAAACTTCTGTGTTTACGACTCGCTGAGCAGCAGTGAGTTTTGCGAGGGCAGCGGCGAGGGCAGGCGGAGTGAGGCGGAGCCCCGTTGTGCGCCCGTATTTATATGGCCCCAAACTGCCCGCGCAACGCCGCGGGACGCGCTGCGCAATTGTTTCTTTCTCCCCCGCCAGAAACATCCCCGCTTGTGATGCAAGCAGTGACCATTTCACTTGAGCTTTAAATATGTCTAATGTAATGTATTTAAAATAAAGCTTATATTTCTATCTTTCTTAAGACGTGTAAAACATTTGTTTATTAACGAATTTACGTAAAATAACATTCTTCTGACAGTTGCTCAGTCTATGCGGTGGTTGGAGCTCGGCGATTATTAAAATACATGAATCTTTATTAGAACTTTAATTATGTCTATGATAGTGTTTAAAATGAGCCTTATATTCCTATCTTTCTTGAGGCATATAAAAAATTTACGATTATTTACAAATTTACGTGAAATAAGCATTGTTCTGAGAGAGTTGCTCCGTCGATCGATCTGTCCGGAGTCGGAGCTCGGCTATTATAAAAGTACACGTATCTTCGCTTTAAATTTAAATATGCCCATGGTAAGGTATTTAGAACGAAGCTTATATATCTGTCTTTCTTGTGACACAAAACTCTTACGTTTATTAAGGAATCTGCGTGAAATAAGCATGGTTCTGAGATGAATGCTGCGGTTTTCGAGTTTGACGAGCGATGAAAACTGCCACTTTTATACAACTACAAATATCTTCGGTTTTACTTAAAATATTTGTCTGGTAGAGGTTTTACATATAGATCGCGTTTCTGTCTTTCTTCTGACTAATAAATAATTTTGGTTTAATCAGTTATCAAGATGTTTTCAACAATATTCTTTCAGCGTTCGTCTTTTCCAACTTGGGCGACCCTTTTGGAAGCGCGATACTTGGGTTAACCCATCCTATAGTTGGGTCAGTTTCCAACTGGGGTTCGAATAAATATACTTTTGATATCGTTCGCCTTATGCGTGTCTGTTCTCGTATTGGCATCCTTAGTGATATTTAGCGTCCTTTGATTATTCCAGATATTGATGGTGCTATATCAACCAGTTCTCGCACTTTCGTATTGTCAATATTGACTTATTTAATAAGTGCACATGTGAATACTAATTTATTGTGAATATTTTAGTTTACCTTTAAAAGCTTCATAGAAAACATTTTACCTAAAGTGTTTTCTATGAAGCTTTTAATGGTAAACTAAAATATTCACAAATTAGTATTCACATATGCACTTAAGTCAATATTGACTAAGAAAGTGAGCGGGTTGGCTATATAGCCTTCCGGGCATAGTGCCTTCTTTTGATTACTTTCCATCTGATGCTGCTGTCTTAATTTTTTTGCTCCTACATGAAACATTAACAGTACCGTTGATCTTTGAAGGCTCAGCCATAATAAGGCTTAGCCAGTCTAAGAATTTAACGGTGGACCTTCCAACTATTCAGCACGGGGTGGAACACTGACTTGGGACAGGTGGAACAGTGCGCCCAAATGATGGAATTCTCAGGGAAACGCGCAAAGGAATTGCACCTATACAGCACTCTGAAGGGGTCAGGATAAGGATTTGGGATGAGACGGAGAAGGAAATGTGCCCAACCATTTACGGTCGAGGATTGAACGCAGAGTTTGCTCTACCGTCCAGCCCAAGAGGTTGGGCGAGCCACAAATATTTTAAAGATTTTTTCAGTGTCGGTTAACATATGGAATGCATTAGGCAGTGATGTGGAGGAGGCCGCCTATCAAACCTACATTTCTAACTGTATGGAGAGCGAATAGGCTCAAGAATCTGTTCACTAGTCGATTGACACCGAGGCGGGACCAAAGAGCCAAAGCTCAACATCCGCAAGCACACCTAGGCTAGCACACAATCCTGAGGGTGATCCGAGTACCCACAGAATGTGTGGAACACTCGCACCTTCCCATCTCTCCAGAACCACAAGCAAGTATTTAACCAGGCCAGTTCAACGTAATTACGGCACAGCCCCGCTCCTGTGCCAGTTAAGTTCACTACGGGCTCACCATAGCCCGTGCTACTCTGAACATTTTAATCCTAGTAGCTAAATCTTCAACAACAATGTAATTACGATATACTGGAAACTAAACCTCTGTAGGAGTTTTTTTTTTTTTTTTTTTAGATATATATAGAAGAGTTGTTACATTCTTGTACAGCCACTAGTACGCGTAGCGTTTCGGGCAAGTCCTTAATCCTATGGTCCCTGGAATACGATCCCCTGCCGCGAAGAATCGTTTTTTCATCCAAGTACACATTTTACTGTTGTGTTAAACAGAGGCTACAGTTAAGGAATTGCGCCCAGTAAATCCTCCCCGGCCAGGATACGAACCCATGACATAGCGCTCGCGGAACGCCAGGCGAGTGTCTTACCACTACACCACGGAGCTAATGTGTGGTTTTATAGCTCCTTTGAAAGTTTATAAGACAAGGTAAACACTAGTTGGGCTGTCCTACCGAGGGAGTAGAGACTTCGTAGCGTCAAGTCTTGCCAAGAGCTAACCAAGAGTGCTTACCACCCATGTGGTAATGGTCATTACTTCAGTGGCATCATTAAATGCAAGAGAAAAATGTATGTAGGGGAGGGGTAAGTAAGTAATTATCAATAGAAGGCACCAAAGGGAAGGATTAAGTCAGTTTAGTTTGGAACTAGATTCTAGGATCTATGAATTATACTAGTCATCCGGGCTGTGGGGGGTCAGGATAGCAGCATCATATAACAGCCTAGTCAGAGACCGGGCCGGGAGAACATTGTGTCCAGTAGTAAACAGTTAAATAAAGAAGGTATGATAAAATGCCAGTGTTTGAGGTAGCAATTTAGTATTTAAATTCGAAGTTTGAGTCATGAATCGGCGCGAAGTACCATCAGAAAGTGAGCTCTTAAATTAGAATACAAAGTGGTGACGCGGTCCAGCCTCCAGACGCAAAAGTTATTCCATGTCTCCAAATCCCCTGTTTATGAATTAATTTTTTTCACACAACCCGTCTTCGACTCTAGTCTATTCCATCCAGCGGTCAACCTCACAGACGCATTCATAAATTTTTTACGTGCTGTTTATACAAAACATTCTCAAATATAAATTATATTAGCATATTGTACATATATAGGCATATTTTAGGCGTTTAGATTCTGTTTGCGATTCTTATTTAGTACGTGGGTGAAGCATTTATAGCCTTGTGGTTCGAACAGAAGTCGTCAGTTAAGCACTTGTTCGAACATCAGTTTTGAGTCTTGTACAAACCGTTTTTTTCCATTCATAAACAATGGGTTTGGCGGGTGTATGGACTCTGAAGGACAGGCTGTTACTAAACTAATTACGTTCGAACACTTTCGGAACAAGTACTTCACTGACGAATTTTGTCAGAACCACAACGCTGTAAATGCTTCACCCACGTACCAATACAAATAATCCCCCACAGAATCTAAACACCAAACCAGTGCATAAATAAGCACAATATGCTAATGGTTTATATTTAAAAAAAATTCTAGTTTTGAACGAACAGCATGCTCAAATTGATGAAAGCGTCTTTGGGGTTTGACCGCTGGATGGAACGGACTTTGGGTAGATGTTGGGTCAGTACCAGTGCGTCTATATTCATTCGTAGTTGCTGTTCAGTACAGTGACTGTCCTCGTTACCTTCTCTCGTGGGGCTGTAGTTGGCCGGACCTGAGGACGAGACAGTAAACATTAGGAATGTCAGGTTAAAAAAAAAAAAAGTTTTTACCGTTACGTAAATGTATTTCATTAAGCCCTCGTTAGACACCATTAACTGTCATTACCGCCCACAGGATGGGTATAGGATGCAAAACTAATCACACGGTGTGTATGGGGTCCAATACCACCCATATATGATTGACATGGGGTCCAATACCACAATATAGACAATAAGAACAAGTATGGACTGGATATACAGATTTAACCCGACCTTAGATTCGTCAGGGAAAATTTGACGTAATGGTAGTTTCTCCCCATACACTTACCTAGTTCCAGTACTGAGAACTAGGGGAAAGGGAGGGAGGAAGCAACAAAGAGGGAGAGAAGGGGAGACGCAACAAGGAGGCAGGGGAGGGAAGGGGGGGGGGGGGGACGCAACAAAGGGGCAGGGGAGGGAAGGGGGGGGGGACGCAACAAAGGGGCGGGGGAGGGGATCCCCCCCTAACATACAGCTCACCTCCAAGAGACGAAGCTGGAACTGTATACCAAAAGTGAGGTAAAACACACTGAAGTGCATTTGGTCTCATCCTCCCTTTTATAACCAGCAGGCAGCCAAACCCGGCCGCTAATTGGTTGACATTCACCCCTACAACTCACCCCATTGGTTAACATTTTGCGAGTCTGAAGTGTCAATTAACAATGGCCAACAACCACTCCTTGACTTCTCCAAATACGAACGAGTCTCTAATGAACCAATAATGATCCCCAGCTTGAATGTTTGAAGTTGTTAATTTCAAAATCTAATTCACAAACCAAATACAACTTTCTATTGTATTTAAATACGTCCAAGATGACAGAGTACATGTGGGGGGTACAGGGTACATGTGGAGGGTACAGAGTACATGTGGAGGGTACAGGGTACATGTGGAGGGTACAGGGTACATGTGGAGGGTACAGGGTACATGTGGGGGGTACAGGGTACATGTGGAGGGTACAGGGTACATGTGGAGGGTACAGGGTACATGTGGAGGGTACAGGGTACATGTGGGGGGTACAGAGTACATGTACTGGTAGTATTGAACCCAATACACAGCCTGTGGGTGTAATGGTCCCCATATTCCCATCCCATAGGGGGTAGTGGACCCATTACCCATCCTATAGAAGGGTAGTGGACCCATTACCCATCCAGTGTGGAGGGGTATGTGGTGTACCATATACCCCCCATTGTGGGTATGAACAATGGGTATATGGTACACGTTGCTATGACGGTGTGTTCATTCAGAGGATGCGTACCGGTCAACTTCAAGCAAGTTTATTGAAATATTATAATACATCCCAAAAAGGTGACAATAGCTTAGGGTATTTCTACCTTCATCTATTACAGGTCCCACCAGGGGGCCCCACAAAACCATACAATAGACAAACAATCATATACTGCTGCCCAATACACTCTTAGGGAGGTGTGGACAAAACTAATCACGTATTCAGGATACAACGCCCGTTAACCGAGCATCGCATCCTGAGGACCCAAAACAGAAAACGGGACAGTATGTCACTTACGCCAGCCGCTTCCATTTTCTAGTGCGACAATTTTTGGGCTTATGTAACGCATACGAGTGAAAAGCTACGTTCTTTGTGGTTGAGTCGAGGACCCACGAGAAGAAAACGGGAAATCACGTCAATTTTGTGAGCCGTTAGGATTGTTAGTTGATCAGTTTTTGGCCTTAGGGAGATTTATACGTCAATGCAGGCGATGAGTCACAATAATGTAGCTGCAGTGTGTTGACCAGACCACACACTAGAAGGTGAAGGGACGACGACGTTTCGGTCCGTCCTGGACCATTCTCAAGTCGATTATACGTCAAAATACAATGTACTTTTCGAGAGGACGAGTTGATTCCTTACGCCTGACGCCGGGCGTAGGTCCAGCCTTGAGGCGTGGGTACCTACACAATACCGACCAGCATGTCGCTCACAAGACCCCCAGGCTTCGCATCTGGAGCAGATTGGAGTCGAGTGGCATTTTAGGAGTCAAATGTGGGTTAGTGACACGCCAGCAGGCTGGTATAGGTAGCCTCGTTAGCACGCACAGCGCCCCCGAAAACCTTGGTCCACATTTTCCACCTAAGGAACCAGGGCACTAAAGGTACCGGGGCGTGGAATGCAGGTCTTGACCTCAGCGAGGCTTACCGCTAGCCGAAGGGCGTGGCGACGTAGCTCTACCGCGCCAATTGTCGAAGCTTCATGAATTTCGTTAAAGTCGTTTCTAAATACTCTGTAACAATGCAGTGATAATTACGCGGAAACAGCGCTCTTAAATGATATGATATGTGTATTTTTTGAACACACAAACATGAAAATATTCTGAATTAGACGCAAGATCATAGGTGCAGGGTCGATAGGCTGCCATAAATAGGCCTACAGTTAACAATGGAAAGAATTCCAGAGGCTCTCCATACTCTCTCCTGTCCCACATTCATATAGTAGGCCTAATGTCACATGCCTACCCCCTCCTTAAGTTATATATATATATATATATATATATATATATATATATATATATATATATATATATATATATATATATATATATATATATATATATATATACAGGACGATGTCAAAGACTTACATTATAACAGGTTTTGTTGAATACAATCTCACAAAGCCAATAGCCTTGTATTTAACTATGAACAAAACCCATCATCCAGAGTACTCCCAACACAGCCTTAGGAGGGCGGTAATAGCCTAACCTACTCTATACCTTTGAGATATATTTTATCTCAATAAAGGTACTTTATTGAACTTGAACACAGCCTAATACGTGCAAGTAACTATTATGATTCCCATAAAATTTAAGCCTTTTGTTCTACACGTTCCTGTCAGTAAGTCAGTATTGTTATACTTGGTCCTGCGCCATTGTGTTTTTTTAATCATACTAACATTCCCCAGAATGCAAACCCACAACATTTGCCTAACTTCCGATAATCTATTTACTACCAGGTGAACAGTGGCATTAGATGAAAGAAAAGGTGTTCAACGATTTCTCTCCCGGCCGGGAATTGATCCAGATATCCCCCGGGCTGTGATACAAGAACGCAGTCCACTGTGCTACACCCGACAACACGCCTAATATGTAGCATAAACTAAATATCTAAATGATAAATTTGTGTCAGTTGGCGACCTGTATGATCCCGCCCTCTGCCTCGCCCACACGGTCTCGGTGATGGCGGGTTCCTGCACGCCCAGCGGCGGTGATCTTTTGGCGGGAACCCATTTCATTTATTCCTGAGGGAACCCCATGAGAGGGAGGGCGCGGGATGGGGATGGGGAGGGAGGGAAGAGAAGGTTGAGGGACAGAAGGAACCATAGAGGGAAAGCCTTGAGGTGAGGAAGTCTTCAGGTAGAGGGAGTGAACGTAGGGGGGAAGGGGCAGGACAAAGGCTGGTAGGGGGTGGAAATAGAGGTGGGGTGGGGGGCAGAAGTGGGGTTCGGGGGGGGGTTGAGGGGGCGGCATGGGGGGATATGATCACGGCCCGCCATGGCTATGACCCCGTGACGTCACCAGTGAAATTATGAGAATGGACTCGCCCGCCATGGGGTAAGACCACGTAGCACTCGCTTGGTGGAAACTAGAATTCCGTTATAACTATAACAGATACAACACGCTTAATTAAATTGACATCAAAGTCTTTGAATACTGATGAAATTATTATTGCGTGGAAGCTAGTTGCTAAACAAATAATAATTTGGTGCGGCATAGGGACTCTCCCCCGGCTGAGTAATGGAGAGTCCCGGTATTTGTTGACAGACCGAGGAAGATGGTCGCTTTTTCTTCGCTCGCGGAGGTACCACTCGCTCTATAAAACACTTTACTATTTTTATATCTATAAAACACTATTTAAACAAAGGACTTGGAGCTCTTCACGTTCTATGATATTTAGAATATGTAAATCTAGCACTGGAGAGTCTGTGCTCCTCCAACAGCAAGATTATATACTTAGTAAAGATGATAATATATTCCAGTAAGTGGCGACCGTTGGCATGAAGCCCGGGCGGGAAGTGATAGTGCTTCCTCCATGGTCAAGGCTGCTCATGGCATATATATATACACACCCAGAGGTGTATACCCGCTTCTCGGTGTGTGTACACTTAGAGTTTGTTCTAGACCAAACTATGTTGAGGACTGAAGATTACTTGCTGGTTGGTGAGTTGTTGTTGTGTTGCCTAAGCTTGACAGGCGTCAAGCTTAGGAAACATGTGAACACACCGCGGGAGCTCAGTGCGCGACCAGACGTGAGCAAGGGAGGTACTCGCCGTCCTGCCACTCCTGCCTCAACCGCCACCCTCTGCAGACTAAATCAAATTGTCTCAATAACATGTCAATAAATTTATCCTATCATTATTTTACATGTTTTTCTGTCATGATTATGATTAATTTCAGATTGTGTTGCTTTGCTTTACACTTACGAAAAGTAAACATATATCATATTCATTTCTTTATGAATATAAAATTAAATCAAACAAATATTGTAGTTAATAAATAAATGTCACTTTAACCAATCGTCCGAAGTATACAGAGCGGCTGTTGCGCCAAACCAAGAAAAAAAAGCATTTTAGCCAAACATATTCGAGTCCAAAATGTGTGTCCTCGCCTAATTGTGCATGTGGGGGGGGGGAGGGGGTTGAGCTTTGGCTCTTTGGTCCCGCCTCTCAACTGTCAATCAACTGGTGTACAGGTTCCTGAGCCTATTGGGCTCTATCATATCTACATTTGAAACTGTGTATGGAGTCAGCCTCCACCACATGACTGCCTAATGCATTCCATTTGTTAACTACTCTGAAAGTGTGTATTCTCGAACGTGTTAGGCTACGTTTGGTTGGGTTGTTCGTGTTAATTAGCGACACCAATGAAGTCCTTGGAGATGAAATGATGGCTGACGATTCCATAGAGTTTTATAATATGTTCAGACCAGCAGAACATCTAATACCGCAGAACTTGCTAGCCCAAA